TGGGTAGGCCCAACCCAATCAAGTGAGCTGTTTAAAAGAAACTAAAGCATCTGAGAGATGTGTTCCAGCTGGCCTAGAACACAAAGCAAACTGCCATGTTGTGAGAGGAGGGGGCCACATCACAAGCACCCTTCTAGGAACACAGCCTCTATGAGCTGGGAGTGGTCCCCACAGCAGCCAGTAAGAAATTGGGGTCCTCAGTCCTACAGCCCTAAGGAAATTAATTGCACCAACAACTGGTGAACTTGAGGTGGACTCCAAGTCACAGATGAGATCACAGCTCCTGTTGATAACTTGACTTCAGCCCTGTGAGAGAGACCCTGAGTAGAGAACCTGGCTAATCTGTACCCAGACTCCTGACCCAAGGACACTGTGAGACAATAAGTGGGTGTCATTTTAAACTGCCAAGTATGTTGTAATTTGTTACACAGCAATAGATAAAAATTTTTTTTAAAATAATATCCTCCTTTCCTTTATATCACTTCAAAAAAAAGAAAAGAAAGCAGATAATAAAATGTTAGCATGACTATTTTCACAAAAGGGTAGAAAGAACCAGAAGGCAGCAAGAGCATCAACAGCATTTGTAACCTAATTACAACTTGATACTACTCTTCGGGCAAGGCTAAATTAACACTTTCTAATCCTCTTACAATTCTGGCATCACTGGTAATGTGAATGCTGCAATACCTCTGTCTTCCAGTGGGTTGCCAGCAAGGTTAATCGTGTGGAGTCCTGAGTGGGGATTATGCGCTAGAGCACTGGCCAGTTTTTGTGCAAAATCTCTGCAAGTAAACACAACAANATCATATACTTAAGACCCATTAACACCTCATTAGAGAATTCCTAAAGCCACAGCCAGAATATGGTTCATTTTGATTGGCCAAACGCAAAAAGAAAGTAGATAATGCCCCTTTAAATACACATTGCTGTATGCTATTAATAGCACTACTTGGGCTCTCCATAATTAAAAATATATACATATATACCAGATTGAACCTGCTTCTCATGAAAATTACCCTAAGCTATTTGCTATATCTTAGTTCTCATTTCATGCAATACTCATGAATGCAAAATGATTACTCTAATTATTGAGTTTAAAGGTTACGATTGCTAGCACTATATTTTAACAAAAATCAAAATTACTATTTTAGTTAAGTTTAACTTGAAAGAACATTCTAAGTGCCATGATTATGAAACTGTAGATCCTCTTCACTTAGCAGCAGTAAAGTCTTTATTCTAATAGATTGTAACTCTTAAACTCTCAACAGTAAGGCCAGGATAGTGACTACCAAACCAAGAACAGAATGAAGACTATGTAAGTGTTAACTTGAAAATGGGGAGAAATTACTAAAACTGATCAAAGCCGTAAAATCATATAAAATGTGTTAGTAATATGACTATCAGTAATGATAATAATAAAAGCCACACATGGCATCTACTATGTTAAAGGCACTTTTGTAAGTACTTTACATACATTAATTCATTTATCCTCACAACTCTAATTTTAAAGTAGACACTATTATTATCCCCATTTTAAAGGTGAAGACACTGAGGCATGCAGAGTTTAAACTTGACTAAGGCCATGAGGCACCTGGCTCAGGGGTCCACACTTTTTTTTTTTTTTTTTTTTTTTTTT